CTTAAAGGGTCAGTTCACCCAAAAATGAAAATTATGTCATTAATGTCTCACCCTCATGTCGTCCCAAGCCCGTAAGACCTCCGTTCATCTTCGGAACACAGTTTATGATATTTTAGATTTAGTCCGAGAGTTTTCTGTCCCTCCATTGAAAATGTATGTACGGTATACTGTCCTTGTCCAGAAAGGAAATAAAGACATCATCAAAGTAGTCCATGTGACATCAGTGGGTTAGTTAGAATGTTTTGAAGCATCGAAAATACATTTTGGTCCAAAAATAACAAAAACTACGCCTTTATTCAGCATTGTATTCTCTTCCGGTTCTGTTGTCAATCCGCGTTCACGAGTCCGCAGTGACGCTACTGACGTGTATCTGGTGCGTCCGTGTATTCGGGTTCAAATAAATATGGCTGGGTAAAAAAATGCAAGTCTTCCTCTGTGTCGAAATCCTTAGACATGTTTGCGAAGATTGTTTTGTTTACAGCGTGCGTCTCCCTCAGACTGTAAACGAAGCTCGGCGCACTGATAACACGTCAGCAGCGTCTTACGTCATCAGCGTCACTGAACGCGGATCCACAACAGAACCGGAAGAGAATACAATGCTGAATAAAGTAGTTTTTGTTATTTTTGAACCAAAATGTATTTTCGATGCTTCAAAACATTCTAACTAACCCACTGATGTCACATGGACTACTTTGATGATGTCTTTTTTTCCTTTCTGGACAAGGACAGTATACCGTACACACATTTACAATGGAGGGAAAGAAAGCTCTCGGACTAAATCTAAAATATCTTAAACTGTTTTCCGAAGACGAACGGCGGTCTTACGGGCTTGGAACGACATGAGGGTGAGATATTAATGACATAATTTTCATTTTTGGGTGAACTAACCCTTTAATGACATAATTTGCCAGTACTCTCTCCACACCACACACGCATGCATTGTGGCTAAACTCTTAGTGAGCGCGAGAGCTGCATAGTGTGGGCTATTAGTGCAGTGATTCATGCACATGCTGGTCTCGATTTCAGTGAGCTCCTTGAGTATGTGTATTACTCTGACCCTGCATCTCTAATGTGTTTAGGGGGGGAAAAGAGAGTAATGCAGTTTCTGTGAAGAGTAACCTTAAACACAATGATGACTTTATGGCTGATGGACTTAATAAGCTGAGGAGCAGAGCTGTTTTAAACTGCTCTGTTTCTAATGTGTCAGTATTTCTTTGTAGGGCTGAGGAAAAGCTGTTATTTCTCTCGGAGGCGCAGAGCCAATACCTGAGACCTCTGCCAAAAAAAGCCAATCCTTTTACACTGTAGAAACCTTTTAGTGTACGCAATACACGGATGCAAACAAAAATCCATATGAAATGTGTCTTTCTCAATCAGAAAATCAGGCAAACACACACACTCACTCACACACAGTTTGTTGATAATTTTAAGTCGAGGAGATTAGGTTAATGAGGGGTCAGGGGGTGACCATAAGAAACAACGACTTGGTTTCCTCTGGATGTCACTGATAGCTCTTACTGCAGCTGACCTTTGACACCCCTTACAGTGAGTGATCAACAGACTCTGCCATTTAGATGGACTAGATTACAATATCAATGTAACGGACACAGGATCCTTTTTACAAGGGTCACTGAAATATATCTTTCAATGAAAACCAAAATCGCAGCTAAAGAGGGCCCATTTGTAACAATGACCTTAGATACTGACACATTTGGTGCCCTTTGAAACTGCTGTCAATTCGAATCAAAACAGTTTCTCACCTTTTGACATAAATACACTCCCAATCAAAAGTTTGGGGTGGGTAAGAATTTTTATATATTTTTTATTTTATTTGATCAGAAATACAGTAAAAACTGTAATATTGTGAAATATGTTTGCAATTTAAAATAACTGTTTTCTATTTTACTATATTGTTTAAAATGATGTCACAGCTTCAGTGTCACATGATCCTTCAGAAATCATTCTAATATGAGGATTTGATGCTCAAGAAACATTTATTATTAGTATCAATGTTGAAAACAGTTGTGCAGCTCAATTTATTTTGTGTGGAAACTTGTCTTAAATATCACTTTTACTGTCAATTTAATGCATCCTTGCTGAATAAAACCTTTTTTTTTTTTTTTAAATGAAACTAACTCACCATAAAAAGTTTAGATAGTTTGGGAAAGTTTCCTTCCTGTGTGAGAAGGCTGACCTCTCTTTTTTTCCTACAGGCACAAATGAAGCCATGGATTCTTTTATATGTCTCTTTTCCCACACCTCTTTCTTGCTGTCCGCAGTTTTAATGATTAGAGCTGATCAAATATCTCAAGGCACAGGTAAAACTTTTCCAGACCACTTCATGAGATAACCTTAGATTAACATTTACTTTAGAATATCTATCAATACCGTATATAGCTCCAGTAATGGGACATAAATGTCAAAGCACACAAAAATAAACCTCAATTTGCCAGACAACACGCTACAGCAGCAAAATCAATCAGTTCATACATTAACATAATTAACTGCATACACGTTATATGACTTTTCACATCTCGGTACTCTGACCCAGCGTTCTAAAGGTGACTCTTCGAATAAAGGTCGACTGTGAGCGTGAATGCGGCCGCGCTGTGATCGTGTCATGTCCGTACAAGTTTGCGAAGTCTTCTGGCTCTTGTGTGAGTTGAAAAGAGTAGATCAATTTCTAATAAACTTCTTCAATAGGCCAATTTTGCCTTTCACTGGCTGCTTTGAAAGGCTCCAGTTAGCATTTAGAGAAAGAGATGGAGAGTGAAGGATGATTACAGAGGAGTACAGTATGCCACTGAAGGTCATCACTCAAGGATAATGAGTGCTGTATTGAAACTACTCCTGTTTCCACTGTCTCTTTTTCCAAACCAGTCTACCTGAGTGAGAGTTCACTAAATCATATTGATCTCAAAACAACACAACTGATTGAAGGTTGCATTTCAGGGTGTGAAAAAGTCCCATGTCCTTTCAAAGCAAAGAAATAATAATCTGGGTGTAGAAAATTTGGAAATTTCAACTGATATAAGGGTAAGGCTGTTACGGTGCATTTGATCACATTAAAATCCCTCATTTCATTATCAGGAGAGCATTTGTACATTCATTCATTTTTGAGGGCAATTGACTTCATGTTACCAGCAACAGCAGTACTAACAACAAAGATATTTAAAAATATATATATTAGAGAATTGTTTAGTTTACAGCTTCTTTTGTAGCTATAGCTTCTTGAGCTTCTATTACCTTACAAAATAATGGTTTTTATGTAATTGATTTCTATGATGGAAAAAGCTGAATTTTCAGTCTTTAAGAAATCACTCTAATATGCTGATGCTGCTCAAGAAACATTTATTAATATTATTAATGTAAAACAGTTTTGCAGCTTAATATATTGGAAAGGATGATAAAAAAATTTGCATGATTCTTTGATGAATAGAAAGTTTAAAAGAACACCAATTATTAGAAATAAACATTTTTTTTGCAATGTATTTACTGTCACTTTTGATACATTTTATAAAAAATCGAATAAATGAATAAAAAAATCTCTGTTTTTTTAATTGTTTTTTTTTTATACATATATCTTAAAATACATGAATGTATGACAGTCATCAATGCTTGACACTTTTGGTCAACTAATGCAGAGAAACATCTTATTTCCTCCTTGCATATTTCCTGATTTATTTAATGTAATCTGAGGTGAACGGCCATAATGGGATTAGAGGCGGTGCTGCTGAACCCAGCGCGGCCCTGCTACCAGCTCACTCAAGAGAAACACACAGTTATCACACAACAGCAGATTGTTTTGAACTACTTATGAAAAAACGGAGCATCTGAAGACAGAGGCACTCTTGCCAGCGTGAGCTGGTGTTAAGTGCATGGTTGTTCCCGTTGTTTTATTTAGCATCTGCAGAATTCCCAGCATAGTTAAGGTGCTTTGGAAAAGGATTAACTGTTGCTGGCACTGGTGAGCAAGCCTCGCAGATTTTCCCCTAGCAAGAAAGTACAAAGAAGAGGAGGAGAGGGGAGATGGAAAAGAGGGAGAAAAGGAAGAGAAACCACAATAACAAGTTGTATAAACATAACCTGAGAGTGAGACATGGGTAAAAGTATATCTAAACAACAATTATCCCTGAAGGAGGAGGCTTTCACTTGCCTACTTACAGTGTCCTATTACATCAGATGCTTAATTTCCGTCGCTCTCTTCTACCTTATTCCCTCCTTCTCTATCTCAGTGCCTTGTTTTTCTCTCATCACTTACGAGTCCTTTTTTGTCCTGTAATGTCCAGCGGTTTCTTAATAGGTCTATTTAAAGATGGGGCAAAATAAAAAAGCCCAAATCAAAAGATGGTGCTAAGGCTTCTAAAAAATTCGAGTTGCCTCAATTACATCCATATAAATCACTCCGTATTTATGACTTTAGAATATAAGCGAATAAAATACAATCACATCTGAGTGACTTTATTGAGTATTTTCTTTTCACATCTACAAATATGAGAAGTGATCTTGCTAATAGCTTCCTTCCCTCAGGAATGGCTGCAGATGATTAGGTAATTTAATTATTTAAAGTCGCTTTGAATTCAATATGACCGTGAAGCATTCCTGACATTATTGTGTCCATGACATTGTGTTCACATCCTGATTTTGATGAACGCTAGCCCATGGTGTTTATAAAAACAAAGCTTACTCGAATTGAGATTGTGGATATTTGCCAGAACACTGTGATATCTTGCCTCCATCCTTCATTGTCATTGAAAAGAGGTTTTAAATTGTGTAAGGTGAAAATATAATTGAAGTAAGCTGAATCAGAAACGATCAAATGAAGATGCAATAAAGAATTACACTGACCTTGATACATTCAAAATAAATAGTGACTTTTTTTTTTTTATCATTCAAGTTTCCAGAGCGGGTCTGTTCTGTAGTGACAAGTGATTTAGTCTGGGAAATTTGTAGTTTGTATTGACGGTATTCAGATGCTCTTCTGCTGTTCCTCTGGTTAGGTTCCTTGTTTCTGGAGCAGAGAAACCAGATCCGGCCTGTTCGTAGAACTGCAAACAAAAGCACTTGACTGACGGCCAGATTTCTTCTCGTGGCTGCACTCGGGTTTCCACGCTCCCAGTATGACGCTTGAGAGACGGCAGGTAACGCAATCTCAGGTGTGCTCGGGGGCGTGGCCGACCCTTTTCTCCTTCTTCACCTTGATCACCCGCAGCGCAGCGACAAACACGGCTCCGTTTCAACCACTTATCCTGCTCGGCTGAAATAATCATCTGATCAGCTCTCGCTCTCACACTCCCTTCTCTGTTTCTCTCACTTGTTTCCACTCTTTATTGCATGGAAGTACAGTCTGTAGTTATTCCGAATAAGGCCCTAAATGTTAGTGGCTCTGGTTTTTTCTTTCACCTTTTTAACTCTATATGGAAATTGTGGGATAGTGAAAGGACACTCATGGATGGCGTATTCTCTCTTATTACACTAAAAAAAAATGATATGTTGGCTTTAATTAATTTTATTTCGTCAACAGGTTCCACATAACTAGGTTATGTTAAACAAACATAATTTGTTATGTAACTTCAACATAATTTGTTCATTTAACTTCAACATAATTTGTTCATGTAACTTCAACATCATGGAATTAGTCATTTTAAGCAACCCTATTAAAGTAGTCTCAAAGTGATTTTTTAAAGGCTTCCTGACATGATTCGGGTATTTTTTATATTCATTCATTCATTAATATTTCATTTATTTTAGTAACACATAATTAAATTGTTAGACTATAGCTAGCTGTTTGCTAGCAGTAGCACATATTAGCATCTTAAATGCTAAGATTAACATGCTCAGTCAATCAAATAGTTGAAATAATTAAATCAGTCCACAGCCAAACAAAATGCTCCACTCTTCTCCACAATGGTAACCCACTGTAATTTAAATGATGCTAATAATTCAAATGTAATTGAACATTAAACACAATTACACACTATCAAGTCTTCCCCTTTTGTCATTTTCTCAAAAAAACATAAAATAACACTCAATTTTAACATTTATTCTCTCTTAATTCAACCATATGCAAAGCATGCTGGGCACTAACAAGCACCGCCCAGTTTTAGTTAATGCAACACAAATCAATCATGTAATCCAACACAAGTGGATTAAGTAAACTTAAATGTTACATATATTTAAGCAGATTGAACACAATCAAATTAAGTTCGGGCAAAATGGCAGTTGGCTCGCACTATACTGCCACCCTCTGGATGTAAGAATTTTTCACTTAACATAAATGGTTTGTGTTTAGGCAACGCATTAGGATTTTGTACTGTTAAGTTGAGACATAATTACGTGGACATTACTAGAAAAAAACATTTCAAGTCAAAAAACACAATTATTATAAGTAAACTAAATATAAATATATTATGTAAAGTGCACAACCTTCCTAGTTCATTTTTTTTAGTGTAGTATGCGGCGCTTTTGAAAGGTTACAGTAATCCAATAGTATTATGGATATGCAGCATGACTTCCTGGGACTTGTTGAAATAATAATTTTGTTTGTTCAAGTGTTTTTGCTAACGGCACAGTACACATTCCTAAGCCCTAACACAAGTGTTGACAAACGAGCACATTTGATAGAAGTGAAAATTAGGGCATAAGGAGCGCGCTATTACGCATAATGTATAAATGTCATTTTTGTGATTAAATATGAAAGCTTCAAATCTATCCTTTCTGCTTGCTAGGTGTACTGTATATTTTTGAGAGGGCCAACTCCCTGGCGTGCAGTATTTTAGAGTGCCCATTTAGCCAGGCCCCCTGCTCTCCTGACAGCTGATGGAAAAGGCAGTGTAACAATGAGCCCCCACCGTGCCTCTCTGCCTGCCCCCAACCACCAGGGGAAGAGGAAGCAGCGGCAGCCGTGTGACACATTATTCTGTCCCCCCGGAACCTGCAGCCAGGCCAAGCCCCCCCTCCGGGTTCCCTTGGACCTCTAAGTGCCGAGCCAGGGACTGAGTGACATTTCCAGAGTCCTGACCTTTGTTTTTCCATTGACTGGGAAGACGTTTGAAGGAGGTACAGTGCACGCTGGTCGACTCTCTGCAAACTGCACACACTGGCAATTACACACACAGTTTTAGTTTGTCTCGCACAAAAGGAAAACCGAGCGCTATGCTGTCACAGAGCTTATTTTCTCATAAACTCTCTATATGGTTTACGTTTTACTATGCCGAATCTGTCCGAAAAGCCACGACAAACTTAACTAGACTAATGAAATGTAACCTAAGGGCACTTTGACTAAACTTTAAGAGTAGAGTTTAATCTTCTCGAAAATGACCACTGGAGATCAAATCATGGCACATTTTATGTTTCTAAAAAGGTCCCCTTAAAATGAAGTCAGATTATTGAATCATTAGCATTACATTGAAAAGTCTACTGCAAAATTCATTCAGGAGCCATGTTGGTTTTAAGTATGGGTTCTCGTAGGACTACATTTAAAAGCAAAACAGGAGAAAGGAAAGGCTCATGTGGAGAAAATGGCATAAAATGGAATGTACTGCAGTGTTGATAGGTTGAGTCTTGGGCTTTATTAATGATATAAGCTGCTGGCCAGTGCTTTGGTCAAATCAGACACCTGCTATGGCTGCCACACTCCAAGAACGATGACATCACAGGGAGCAGGGCAAGTCAGATCCGCTGTTAATCGCTCGCCTTAATTGAGTGCTCTGCTGAGTTCCAAATTGCTCAGTACAATCAAGACTCATTTTTGAGTCCCACCATGTGCTCTTAGGCCATGATGAGATACTGCCTTCATTGCCTGTTGTTTCTGAATATTAGCCTGCCTTTCAATACGCCCCCCACATATTCACGCTTTTTACTCGTACCCTTCAGGTTGCTGTTTTTACTGGCTATTTTTCTCTAATTTCTCTGAATTCCATGTGGGGGAGGAAGCTATTGTTTTCGAACATCCTGGTCCTACTCATCATTTGTTCACTAATTCCAAATCGGCAGTAAGTATGGACCAGTAATGAAACAAAGTGATTCTTTATTTTTTCTTCCTGAACACAGACAAGAATTCCTTCGTAATATGTAAAGGATTATCACTCAGCCTTTCGCAAAACAGATCTTGTATCACCTTGAATGGGTTTATTTTGCTGTATGAACTGTACATTATCCAGCTGCTACTGATCAAATAAATGAATATATGTCATTTTGATCTGAGTTGAAATTATTTGAGAATTTGTCCTCTGTATACCTTAGCCACCTAGCCTGGTTAAAACCAGACCATTCTCAGTTGTAACTGAGTTATGGTCTGGCAAAGCGTCATAGACAAATCATTTCCAGAGGGGCGTCACCAACGGACGTCGCGGATAGACCTAAAACCAATCAGAGCGATGAAGGAGATGACGTATGCAGAGTGGCGGAGAAACTCCGAGTGTTGTTCTTTGCTCGGTTTTTAACAAAAAGGAAACGTTCAAATCACTTAAAACAGACGCGATAGCTGATTCGAACGAGTGATGTTCGATGGTGGCATCCATCTTTGTAATGTAGGCTACAAAATCTGCTTCAAAATCCCAGCGCTGTCGTCATCGTGTAAAGCCCGCCCCAACGTTTCTGATTGGTGCCTCGATTTCGACGGATTGGAAATGGGCTTGAATGAGCTCTTTGCCAGACTAACTTTCAGAGCAAATCTAAATTTGCCGGAAGTTGTCTGGGTTTTCCCAGGCTATTAGCCACCGCTAAGAAATAAAATAGTCCATTAGAATGTACAAAACAGTTGGCATAGCAACAAGACAAACACGGCAACAATATTACAATGATATTAATAGAGTGCATTAGCGCCCGCCCCCTTTTTCAGTGGAGCTTTTATCCATTAATTTTTCCCATAGGGATTTTAAAAAAAGTCCTTGTTAAAGATCTATAAGCCATGAACCAAGACAATCAGCTACGAGGTCACTCAAAAATTTTGAAAAAATCAAAAAAGTATTTGAAAATCAGACAAAAATACAAACAAGACTGTGTACTTATCAGCTTTAGTTTAACAATCCCATAAAGCATTGCGAACAGCATAATCGAATAGAGTGGTGCCGTTTGTTTAACTTAAAGGGATAGTTCACCCAAAAATGAAAATTGTATCAGTAATTACTCACCCTCATGTTGTTCCAACCCCGTAAGACTTTCGTTCATCTTCGGAACACAAATTAAGATATTTTTTACATAGGCTTCTAAGGGATTGAAACTTGCCGGCCCAGAAAAGTTATTAAAGACATCGTTAAAATAGTCGAAGTGACTACAGTGGCTCAATCTTAAGTTTATCCAGCGACGAGAATACTTTTTGTGCGCAAAAAACAAACAAAAATAACTTCTTTATTCAACTATTCATTTCCTTCTCTGTGGGCCTCGAGTGAGTTCACATAGTGAAACAGCGCAGCGCTTCTGTGTTGTACGTCACACGCATTACACACATGACCAGCGTCGGCCAATAGTGAGCCTATACGTGTGAGCCTACAATGCTAACATTAGCTACAACCAAAACAGAATTTCACATTAGTTAATTTAATGTTAACTAAGCGTTGCTCACTGGCGTATTTTAACCCGACAATTCAATAATCTAACAAAGTCTGTCAAATGTAAACGTTATCGCAGTTTACCGTGGTAAAGTTTGTTACCGCCATGCTGACGAGTATAACATAGGTTAAACTGGGGTGCACAAACCTGTCAACACACACATAATGTTTTTTTACCTTGCTTGCTGGTCTCTCTCGGTGAAGTGAATCCCGTCTCTACCCCGGGACACACACGAACGGCGCAATACAACAAAAGACAGTCAGAACCCAGTGATATAACACTGGATAGTGATGACAATTTCAAAACACTGCTTCATGAAGCTTTGAAACCTTTACGGATCTTTTGTTCTGAATCAATGGTTCGGAGCGTGTATCAAACTGCCAGAGTCACGTGATTTCAGTAAACGAGACTTCATTACGTCATAACCGTTTCAAAACACTTCGAAAATTCAATTGTTCACACCTGGGGGCGAAGATCTCTGAGTCACTAAGAACCAATGAACTAGTGTCTGTGGGTTTTACCTGATCTCTGATCAGTTTTATAAATGTTTTAGATGTTTTAATTAGACATTAGTATAATTAAAATGAATAATGGATTTAAGTCTCTTATTGGCCTGTTTAGCTGAGCCATTCATAGAACAAACAAAACAAACCCTGACAATTGATAAAATAACATATAGACACTTGATAATCTTATTAGATGCTTAGATAATTGCATTTGAAAGATTTTACTTTCAATAAAAAATTTGCAATACATTTGTAAAAGGTGTTTTTATGCATGTTTGGCCTGGGTTTTTGTTGCATTTACACTGTTCTGACCACTAGGGATCCCCGTGGAGACGGGTGTCGGATTGTTTCGAAGCCTCGACACAATATGGCACATGTGCTTCAACTGTTTCAGTGTTCCACGAAGCCTCGATCTGCCCACCACTAACACGGGATGCTCCGGCGTGACACGACAAATCCCAGACAGCGTATGGTGATGCCCCGTTATATTTCTGACGTACGGTACTCCGAGTCATGGTGTAAATCTGTTTACTGCAGCTGTTGAATGAAATAACACCCTTTTTAGTGATATTTCGCTGCAGGCATAAGTTGGCATAACTGACCTACAGTGTGCAGTACACATTGCAACTCGTGTTGCATCATCTTAACCAGAGCCGGACAGTAACGGAGTACATTTACTTGAGTACAGTACTTAAGTACAATTTTGAGGGATCTGTACTTTACTCGAGTATCATTTTTGGGGAGTACTCATGACTTTACTCAAGTACATTTGAGAGGCAAATATTGTACTCTTTACTCCAATACATTTCTATCCATAACCGTGAGTACCCGAGTAAAATAAAAAAACAGTAAAAAAAAAAGAAAAATCTCGGACACCCTCAATTTGTTGTTTCCCTCTCAAACGTGATTGGATTGTGCAGGCGCCACTGATTGGGACAGCCTATCAGCAATCACTTTCAGCTTTCCGCCAAAGTCAACTCCATGGTCAGATTTTATATTACACATTAATGTAAGCCAAGCATTTGGTTTGATGTTCTTGAGTATGTGGTGTGTTTAACACAGATGTGGCAGTGGCGTAGCCACGAGGGATTTCTGATTTTCTTAATAAAAAAAACTTTAGGAGGCAAAATATATTTTTACTGATTATGTGAATTACACTGCGCAAACCAAAGTAGGCTACTACCCAGCGAATGAAGAAGGGTTGGCGCTCAGTCTCCACAGTACATAAAATATTAATTTTGTTTTATTTTATTTTTCGGGTTTGCATTTATGAGGAAAAAACAATGTTATGGACGTGTTGTCCGTTACCGACGTGAGCGCTCTGAAAGCGGCATAAAAAATGCTTTAAAACTTTCACAGAGACATCAAACAGAAAACACAAAACCTTTCTTTAACCTGAATTTCGTTTTGCATTAATTGTATCTTAATTTTAATCAAGGTTTCATCAACCAATTGCCTGGGTTTAATAAATAAGAAGTAAATAGCAGACGATAGATAAGAAACGGAGGCGCCGGACGTGAACTGGATCTCGTCTCATAAATGAACCGAAACACAGTGTATAAGGTAGCCTACTTGCCTCTCACAGACATGTCTACTTTTAAACAGAAAAATTCAAAACGAAAGAAAACAGACTACAGACTGCTCTCTGCTTATGTAATCCGTATGAAATGTGCATTTCTCTCTGGCGCGTTCACTGCTGAAGATCGCGAGTCAGCATCGTCAACTTCATCTAGCCGACACTGACAAAGAAAACACTTGTTTATTAACAAGTGTTTATTAATAAACAATTAAAATATCTCCTTGCTATATTTTACATATTCATAATCATTCCTTTTGCCGGTTCTTTGTGACAGCTTTTAGGTGCTGTATTGGCAGCGCCACCCTTACATGTGGTGTGTGTGTGTGTGTGTGTGTGTGTGTGTGTGTGTGTGTGTGTGTGTTGTCCCCGCATTTAAGATGGGACCCCCCAAAAATTTAATTAAATTAAATAAAGCAACATGGTAAAAAGATGAAAATGACTTGATTTTACTTTCAATTCCTTTTACATTCTCCAAGGTATTAACATTAAAAATTTTCATAACTCCATGTAGGACGTTTCTGTGCATAAATGTAAGCACTGTGGCAGTAGATTAGTAATGCAATATTTAGAAAATTTACTCTTGTACTCTTGATACTCAAGTACTTTTAAAAACAAGTACTTTAGTACTTTTACTTAAGTAGACATCTGACTG